CAGCGTTTGGCTGACTCTGCAGATGGACACCGTGGCCTGGGGCCCCGTGGGCCTGACCTCCGGCCCCAGCACAGACCCTGCCCACCCTGGATGAGGTGGCCTGGGGCAGGCCAGGCCTGTGCTGACCTGCAGTAGGCGTGGGGGCCCAGGCCGAGCAGGGCCGCGGCGCCCACCGAGTCCACGTGCAGCTCCTGGTAGAGCAGGTCCGAGTTCCAGGCCAGGCAGCTGAGGCCCGAGGCCGCCGTGCTGGCCACGCCTCGATACTCGGTGCCGTTCCCCACGAAGCAGCGCTGGGTGGGCACTGTGGGCAGCATGGTGTGCGGTGAGCCCGGGCCCAAGGCTGTGTCCACCTCGATGCCGGCCCCAGGGCACGGGGCCAGGAGGCCGACCCACTCACCAATGTTGCAGAGCCGCCCAGCGTGGCCCGGGGGGCAGGAGCATACGGTGGTCCCAGTGGCCACGATGAGGTGGCAGCTGCCCCCGTTCAGGCACGGGTTGCTCAGGCAAGCTGTGGGGAGGGCTCAGAAGCTAGGCCTCGGGCCTTGAGGATGCCAGCCGCCTGAGGGCGGGGTCGGCGCCGGTCCCCCTGGGGCCTGCGGCTGGGGGGCCCCGGGCCAGCCCCTCCCCCGGCCATGGCGTACCTGTGTGGCGGGTGCCCTCGCAGCGGATCCGGCCCCCGGCACACTCACACTGTTCCACTTGGCCCTGGCTCACTCGGGCCCAGCGGTCGCCCACCTCCAGGTGTTCGTAGCGCGTCTCGTCGAAGCATTTCTCTGGGGGTCGCGGAGCACCCTCAGACTGCTGCCCTCGGGCAGGCACCCCCCCACCCCGCCCATCTTCCCAGGACCTGGCCCTGCTTACCTGTGCTGCAGTCCTTGCCTGTGAAAGCCATGGGGCAGGTGCAGTGGTAAGACTCGGGGTCCTGGGCGTTGGAGCATAAGCCCCCGTTGAGGCACGGGCTGGAGGCGCAGGGGTCCGGGGCGGCTGGGGACACGCGGAGGAGTAGGGGGCAGGTGTGAGAGAACCCGGCCCGTCAGCACGGCCGCCCCAGACCCTGTCTGCTTGCCAAGGCCCGCCGTGCCCCCATCGGGCCTGCCGCCTTCAAGCTGCCCCTCCGGATTCCTTGGGGTGCAGCAGGCCTTCCCTGTCGTCCCAGCACTCAGACCCTGGGCAAGCAGGCCTCTGGCTCTGTACCAGGACCCTGGAAGCCCAGCCCCCCATCAGGCAGCGCAGTCCCCTCCTGTGTGCCCTGGGACCCTCGTAGGTAGGGCTGTCAGCGCCCACCCCCTACCCAGACCCTATGGGCCCTCGTCTCTGTCCCGCGCTCTGTCTGTGCAGCCCTGGGGCCCAGCCTGACCACCAGGGGGCGCGTTGGTCCCAGCAATGACCAAGGCAGCCCTGTGGCTCCAGGAGAGGGCAGGGTCCTGCCTGGGAGGGGCTCCACCTCCGCGCTCCTGCAATCCCCCGGGCTGATGACTCCTCTGTCCCTTCCCAGGCCCCCAGGGCTGCAGTGGGTCAACCCCAAGGTCCCCTCCTGCACGCCAGGCAGGACCCCCCATCCCAGGTCAGCTCTGTCCCCTTGGCTCCCACCCCCATCAGCAGGTTGACCCTAGCACTCCCTTAGACTCACCCCACCCCCAGCCTGGACTCAGCAACCCCCCAGCACACCCCCTTCCCCCCTCCGCCAGCACCCACCTGGGTCCTCCCTGGGCACCGAGACCTGTGCGCAGTAGCCCCAGGCCCTGTCGCGGTCATAGTTGTGGGTGGTGGCGCACCTGGGGGTGAGGAGACAGGTGGGTCCCAGCCCCGAGACCTGCGCCCCAGCCCGCCTCTGGCAGGGCACCCGCCGAACGCTCCGGAGCTCTGCCCTGGTCACACCCAGGCCTTCCTTCCCGGCTGTTCACGGGGCTCAGGCTGGAGGAGGGAGGGTGGAGGGCAGGAGGGTCTCCGGAGTGGACAGGGGCCGCGGGGACCTGGAGGAGGGAGGCTGGCGGTCTGTGCTTGCCGGCCTCGCCCCCAGCCGGGACCCACCACTTCCTGTGGGCGCTTCCCTCCGAAGTGCACGAGTGGAGCATGCGGCCGCCGTAGCGAAAGGGAAACCTGCAGGGCCGCCCGTCCTCCGTGAGCACTGCAGGGGGAGGGCAGGGGGGGTCAGGGGGCTCCACATCGCACACCCCGCTCCCCAGCAGCCGCCTGCCATCCTCCCGACCCTCCCGCCCAGGTGTAGCCCACCGCCTCCAGGAAGCCCTCCTGACCCACCTGGGCCCCCAGGGCTGCTGCCGGAGGGAGCTGCCCTGGGCGGGGGGGTGAGCCCCCTACCATGGGGTCCCTGTGCCTCTGGAGCACTCGTGGCTGGGGTCCCAGGGGTCACCGAGGTTACAGGGATCGTGGGGGTCCCAGGGGTCACTGTGGCGTTAGGTTCTGGGGGTTCTGTAAGGTTCTAGGAGGAGCCAAGAGGGCTGTGATGGGGTGGCCCCCCTCACACTCAGGCCACGCTGGCTGGCTGGTCGCCGTCCCCATCCTCAGTTGCCATATGGGGGCCCTCAGGTCTTAGAGCAGAAACCAAGGGGACCCTGGCCACTGGCTGTCCCCATCCCCTCCCGCCGAGCCCACAGGCTTAGCCAGGGCAGGCTCTGTGTCTGCCCAGGCTGGGGCACCCCTGCCTTCCAGCCTCAAATCCTGGGGATCTCTTCTGGGGGATGGACGAGAGCAGCCGTGAGGCCCTCAGAGGTCCCTCCGCCTCCCCCAAATAATGGGACCCAAAAGCGGCCCAAAGAGAGGGGAGTGGCCCTCAGACCCCAGGCCTCCTGTCCCCCAGGCCAGCCCAGCACGCCCACCTGGCCCGCGGAAGGCCGGAAAGCCAGCTGGCAGCACGCTGGGCCCCTCACCCACTCCCCGGCCCTCCCTGGCCCTCCCCGGCCCCAGGACCCAGAGCGGGCACAGGGAGCCCGTGGTCACAGCGCCCTGGGGTCAGTGCTCACCCTGCCAGCCTGGGGCTGAGCCCCGCAAGGCACCAGCAGCACCAGCAGCAGCAGGAGCAGGGCCATTCCCGGCAGGGGGCAAAGCCTGGGACCCCAGGCCCCGCGCCCCGTGGCTCCTCCTGGGCTGGCCTGAGGGGCAGCCGGGAACACAGCGACCAGGCGGGTGGGGTCAAGGCCACCTGGAAATGATTAACCCCGGCTGCCTCCAACGCCGGGCCCACATGGCCCCCGTATCTGCTGCCCAGCTCACCCCACCCGGCCCAGCTGGCCCCTCTGGCATCTGCCACACTGGTCCTGCACTTGACAGTGTCCTCGGGTCTCAGCTTGGAAGCCTCCTCCAGGAAGTCTTGCAGGACACACAGCCAGTGGGGGCCCGGACTCTCGGCCCCGGCTTCCGGCCCCCACCTCTCCACAGGGCTGGCCACTGTTTGTGAACTCTCGGTAACCGGAGTGGCTGTGAGTGGTGCGCCTCCCAGGCCTGGAGGGTGGATGCTAGCCCCACAGCCAGCGAGAGGCCAGGCACGGGGTGTGTGTGTGTGTGTGTGTGTGTGTGTGTGTGTGTGCACACACCGGGCTGAGCGTGACAAACACTGACCCCAGGATGGGGACCCTCATGGGGGTAGAGCTGGGGAGGGGGGTAGCACCAGAGCCCTAACTGCAGGGTGCCCAGGAATGTGCCCTCCCCCTTGGGAGGACCCCCTTGGACACCTCCTCCAGGAAGCCTTCCCACCCCTGGACTCCCTCAGCCCTGGGCTTCCCCCCTCACAGCTTGGATGACATGTGCTGTCCCCACCTCTGGCCAGGGCTGCCCGCACCCCGTCCCGAGCCCTAGCTCGTCCCCAGAATAGCCTCAGACAGGCCCCCGGGCCCACCAGGGGCCACAGAGACCTGGCTTGGAGTCCTGCCCAGGTCTGCATGCGCCTTGCTCTCTCCATCTGGGACCTGGGGTGGGGGCACCGCCCCTTGGACACAACTGCAGCAGGTCCACGGCCACGGACCCCAGAACGCATGCCTGGGGGCCGCAGGCAGAGCTGCCAGGAGAACCTCTTCAGCAATTTCCGAGCACGGGTTCCCCATGAGTCAGCTCGGCTCCCCCAGAGAGCAAAGGTGCGGGCTGGCCCTCACTTTGCTCGAGGGATCAGCCTGGCACTGCAGCCACCTCACTGAGCACCCCCAAACCACTCTCTCTGGGCCCCCGTTTTGTCATTTGTACAAAAGGAGGGAGACTGGAAACTGGGGGGCACCCAGTTTGGTGGGTAGTGGGTGTAGCATTCGGGGGGCACGAGCATCAGGTGCGGGCGGGGGAGCACGGTGGGTGCGGGGACATGATGGGTGCTGGGCCCCCCCTCCCTCTGACACCTCCCAAGGACCCTCCCAGAGCACTGCTCCCTAGAAGATTCCAGAACCACCCCAGTGGTCTTGCCGAGGACTCGCAGGTTGGGCCCTTCCCAGCAACTTGTGGAGAGAGGGGTGCGGGGTCCCTGGGCGCTCAGCTGCTCCACGTTGGGGTTCCACCAAGGCGACTGGACCGGTGGCCGACGGGACCTGCTTCGGCCAACACCCCGCTGCGGCCCTGTCCCCCAGTTAGCCCCCCGCGCGCCCTCCTGACGAGGCTCCTCCGGCCGCTCTCCGGGCCCGACACCACCCAGGCCCTCAGTGAGGGCCCCTCCACGGACGGATGGACGGACGCAGAAGGGTGTCACAGCATCCTCTAAACGAGGCCAAGCGCGGGGCTTGCGGCACCCCAGAGCCAGGCAGGACAGCACAGGGCGCAGCCTGGCTCGTGGGCTGACCCCCAGGGCCCTGCACTGACTTGTCGGGCAGGCAGGAAGCCGACGTGACCGCCTCCTCTCACCCTCCAGGGCACCACAGCCTCGAGCCCCGTTAGGCTGGCTTCATTCTCTTTGCCCACCCTTGACCTCAGGACCAGAAGCCGTTGCCTCCTCGACCCCTCTCCTGATACGCTCCCTGAGGGCAGGGCCTGTGACCCCCGCACCCAGCACGAGGCTGACACTCGGGGGATCCCCAAAGTTGATTTATTGAGGGAAGACTGGAGGCCGAGAGGCAGGAGGGGACAGGGTCCGAGGAGCCCTCTGAGAGAGCTGTGGCCAGTGTCCGAGGCCGGGCCACCCTGCCCTCTCCTGGTTTGGCTCCCGAAGGCAGGGTGGCCAAGGGGGCCCCTCCAAGGCCCTCAGGATGATTCGGGGCTGTACCCCCGAGATCACGGGCGCCCGCACATGTCCAGGTGGGGCAGCGCCGATGCGGGGGCAGGAGGGACAGCTGGTGGGGCAGGGAGGGCTTCAGGCAGCCTCAGACGAAGGTCGCATGGTGCGGGCTGGCCTTGGGCTTGGCGGGCCCACCCGGGACGGGGCTCAGGCTAGGGAGGTCTGCTGTCAGAGGCCCACTGGCCCATGACCTCTGGGGGCCTGTCCGCACCCCGGGGACGCTGCTGCCCAGCCCGGGGGCCAAGCCCGCGATGCGGTCCACGTCGATGATGGTGTTGACCGGGAGGCCCTGGCTGCCTCTGGCCCTGCCGCCTGTCACAAGAAGAGAGAGACTGTCACCCGTCTGCCCTGCCCTGGGCTCTGCAGCCCTGCAAGCACCCCAGGCAGGAGACCGCACCCCACCCTCGTCATCCAGACACTGGTGATCGGTGACCTCGGCTGCCCTGGGCCCGGGGCAGGATGCCCAGGTCTGCCCCCAACACAGCCGTTTCAGAGCGCCAACCCGCAGCCCCTGTTCTGCAAGCCCCCAGACCCTCCTAACAGCGAGGAGCCCTCACAGAGGGGCTGCACAGTGAAGGGGGGGCCAGCCAAGGGGGCTTCAGGCATGAGTCACAGGGAACAGCGAAGGCAGGGACCCCGAGTGGGGTCCCCCGTGCCCCTCAGACACTCCTGTGCCCCCCATGCCTCCACGTGGACTCAGAAACAGAGCTCAGCCAGCCACCTGCTGAGGTCCCCAACCCACCCTACCCCGCATCCTCCTGCTGGGCTGTCTGCAGGGCTCACCCTTAGGCCAAGGGGTCCTCAGGGAGGTGTAAGTGGGAGGGATAGGGCCCTTGGCCATGCGGGGGGATTGCGGGGGGGGCATCTGTGCCTTGGCTGGTGGGGACTGGTGGGGAGGACCAAGCACTGGGTGGGGGTGGGCCTTCCGCACGTCAGCATCGGGCACCTGGCCTGAAGGGTCACCCCCTGTCCCACAGCGGGGCTGCTCGGGGCCTGTCCCATTCAGGCAGATCCCGTGGGGGTGGCACCATGTGGGGGAGGTCCCGAAGAGACTGCCCTCCGGAGGTCTGAGGGTCCACACAGCACAGCCCTTTAGGCGTTTCAACAGCCACTCTGCTAGGGCTGGCTGGGATCCACCCCATCCCCTGCTTGTCACTGGGTCCCCAAGGCCCCAAATGCCAGGCTGCGGGGCCCACACATGATGGGGCGGGGCTGGTCTTCGCCTGGTACTTGGGGTGGCACAGAGGCAGGGATTGGCCCCCTCAACCAGCATGTGTCTGGAGCGTTAAAGGGCCTGTGACCCCACTCAGGCTCAGGAGCCCAGCCTTCTCCCGTCCAGCCCCGGACGGACCCCCGGGAAGACAGACAGCTGCAGGGAGCGGTCAGGCCTTGGCCACGGGCCCCCGGGCAGCTCAGTGGGCTCGGGACGGCTTCTGGGGGCAGGGCATCAGGTGGGTCCTTGGGCCAAGGACGGGAGTGTCACGAGGGGGGAGGGGGCGGTGGCTGCAGTCCGGGCCCTTCCTGCCTGCCCTGCTCAGACTTGCTCTCCTGAGTAGTGGCAGCCCCAGGAACCGTGACTCAGTGGCGGGACCCAGCCCTGTGCAACAGGCGTGTGTCACAGCCCCTGGGCCAGGGCCCGCCCCAGAACGGCTCCCGGCCCAGAACCCTCATCGGCGCTCCCCGGCCGGCCGGGCTCCGGGGGCAGCCATTTCCAAAGGGAGCCTGGTTCTGCTCTGAGCATGAGGTTTACTCGTGGCGAGGCTCATTAAGGTCCTCCGTCCCGGGTCCCTCACACACCCAGACCTGATGCTGGAGCCAGAACCTTTGTGTCCTGCCCGCTCGGGTGGCTCTGGGACCCTTGTTTTTCCTGGGGCACCGCAGACCCTGCGCCCTGACCATCCTGGAGCATGACTGCAATCCGGAGCCCTGGGAGCCCTGGGAGCCCCGGCTGCCCCTTGCCGGCTGTCTGTGGTCCATCCTTCCCTGGGCCACCCCGTCCTTTGTCCACTAGCATTCCCTGTGCTAAGTACCAGCTCTGCTCAGGCCGCCAAGGCTCCGCATCGGGAGAGTGTGACACAGAGCCAGGACCCTCCTCTTGGGGACAGCATGGCACAGGGCGACCCTGGCAGGGCCAGGTCCAGGGACATGGCCTGACCCCTTGGCCACCTCCAAGCTCTCCTTCAGGATCCAACTCTCGCGGCCCTTCCTGACCCAGAGGAGCCCTCCCTGGCTTCCAGGTGCTCTGCTGGGACTTCAGCCCCCCATGCTGTGTGTCACCTGTGAGGCTGGATCCTGGGTGTCCCTCCAGGCAGGCCATCCTGACATCTCTGTGAAGCTCCCACAGCACAAGGAGAGGTGGGCACAGCTGACTTGGAAAGTTGGCAGGGAGGGGAGAGGACCAGGGACAGGGACCCCAGGGTCTGCCCTTGGCCCCTGGCCCTTCCAGGCCCTCCCAAGGCCTCTGCTGGCCCTGGGTACCCCGTTCGGCCCACTTTCACAGAGGCTGACGGGGTCCCCATGGGAAAGAGCAGGGACAATCCCGACCAAAGCCCTGGTTCTAGCCCATGAAATGCACAAGGGAGCCCTCCACTTGGACCCCCAGGTCCACTGGACTACGTCTGGATTAAAGCTCTTCATTCAGCAAATCTGTACTGAGCACCTACTGGGTGCCTGGACCACAGCACATGGCAGCACACAGTGAGGGGAGGGGACGTCTTCAGGGAGAATGGGGACCAAGCAGTCTCAGGGCCAGACCAGGTGCGGGCATGGAGAGGGCGGCCCTGGGGACGGGCTGCAGGCAGGAGCCCCAGCAGTGCTGGCCCCGGGTGGGCACTGTAGCTGGGGTCCAGGACAGCAGGGGACAGCCGGGGGGGGGGGTAGGTCACGCTAAGGACCACGGGAGCCTGTGGTTTCCACTCAGACCCAGGAGTCAGGGAGAGCAGACCAAGGCAGGGACAGCGGGGCGCGGAGCATGGCCCCTGGGAGGATGGGGTTGTCCTAGCCAGTGCTGGGGGTCTGGGGACGGGGCTGGGCCAGCACCGTCTGCCCCGGGAAGCCTGTGGAGGCTTCCAGCCAGGCATCTAGCTGGAGAAGGTCTGCTCAGGTCCTTTCCAGCCAGAGCAGGGCCAGAGCACCAGAACCTGCTCTGCTGGAAAGGGGGGTTCTGGCGAGTTCCCTGGCAGAGGGCTGCCCCCTGACAACTTCCAGTCCTGAGACTGGCGGCAGGCCCCTAGCGCCGACGTGTCCCTGAGAAAGCCGGCCACCCCTGTGCACGGCATGGGTTGTACTGGGGGGGACTGGGCTGTCTGCCCCCCGGATGGCAGGGGTGCTCAGTGTGGGGATCCTTCGGCCACCCAGAGGGAAGGGCCAGACCTCTGCTGGAGAGAGAGAACTGACAGGACGCGTGCAGATGTGGGGAGGGACATGGGAATAGGAGGTGGCGCCCGGGGCTGGGGACATGTGCACGGCTGTCCCCAGAGGCCTCCCTGTGGCTACTGTCCTGGACACAGCTGCGGTAAGGCAGGGCATCCACGTCATCTGGGGCTGAGCAGGGGTGACACACCAAGGCTGTGGCTGGGGGAAGGGAGGGGCGAGGGGGGCTGACCACTGAGCAGCCAGACGAAGACGGGCTCCCGGGATTGCAGGCACACCAAGAGCATGTGGTCTGGCTACCTTCACTGCCAAGGTCAAGGCCGTGGCCTCTGGTTAACTCTCCAGGTCTGTTCCCGTGGAAACCACATTACTAGGCCCCCGCGACCCCTGCTGCGTGGGCTATGTGCGAAGGGACCAAGGGCTACAGGTGTCTGCTAGGAAGTGAGCAGTGGGTCCCAGAGAGCCGCCACTCTGGGAACTGGGTGTGCCTTTGGGGACCCTGGACACGGACAGCTGGCGGAGGTATCCAAGTGGGGACGACTTCTGCCCCAGCCAGGGAACAGCACCCCTCATACCTGAGCCCCCCAGACCCCGGGCCGGAGTGGCTGTGCGGGGACCCCTTCCTGGGAGGGGTGCAGCCGTGCCCATGTGGTCACCGAGGGCCCCACTGTTGCTAAGGGCCGCTGGCTGCTGGGGTCCCCAGGGGCCTCGCCTCCTGGAGGGGCTGGGAGGGGCTCAGCCAGGACCCTGACCCACTGCCCTGACACCAGTATGGCCAGACAGCGGCGAGGAAAGCTGGGCTCTTCCCACGCCTGCCTGGCGCCGGGTGAGGGGAGGGGGCGTGGGGCCCTCCCGGTCCCCTCTGGCCCGTCCATCGCTCGGACCGAGGGCCAGTTGAGGGGAGATTTCTCTAAACCCAGCCCTTTGGGGAAGGGCTCCAGGTGTCCCCTTGCAAAGACCTCTCCCAAATCCCACATGGTCAAGCCTGTACCCTGGGGTTCCTGGCCAATGACCCTTTACTCATGAGTGAAGCCCCGCCTTGGGTCCGACGCCACCTGAGCATTGGGCCGGGCTGAGGCGGGGGCTGCTGGGGCCACCGGCCCGCACTGAAGGCAGCTCCTGGGCCGCTCTGGACGCCCTCACCAAACACTCAGCTCCACAGATATATTTTGCTCCCTCGGGAGGAGGTGCCCTGTGGGACATAATTCCTACGCCCTCTCTGAGGACGTGGACACAGGCATCTCCTCGCGCACTGGAGAGAGGCCAGCACCACCCTGGGCGTGGACCGTGGAGGGCCCACACTCGGAATCGGTCTCTGGCTCTGCTGGGACCTGAGGACGCGCACCTCCCCAGCTGGTCCTTCCCAGGACCGCAAATGCCAGGGGGTGCCCACAAACTCCCAGGGTGTCCTTGGAAGCCCGGTAGGTAACAATGAAGAAAACAGCCGGGAATCAGTGTCAAAGCCACCACAGGATTCATTTTCAGGGGCCCTCTGCATTGGACTCACTTCTCAGTCCACACATCCGTCCCAATACCCCGTCCTCTAGCCAGGCAGGGTGCTGACGGGCCTCTTTGTGCATGGGTGCTGGGGACTGCGGACCAGGGCGGGCAGGAGGACACCCCCCCGTCACCTGGGGGCCCGATGCTGGCAGCCGCCCAACTAGCTGCACGGCGCGGACGTGGCCATGAGCTGCAGAGCCCAAGGGCCCAGGGGCGTCAGCGCCCCGCGTCTTCACCCTGAACCGATCCTCGGTGACCACCATGTTGCTAAGAAATATTTCACAGCAATTTCGAGAATTGGTGAGAGTAACTGTGGGTGCGCTCTGCCTTCTAAACCCTGAGAAATAAAATTCAGTGCTCGGTGCCCCTCGGCGGCCCCAGGGGTGCGACAGATGCTCTTGCCCCACTCGACGGAGGAATCTCAGGGGTGGCTTCCCCTTCGTTGCAACGTGGGGGCGCCTGACACACGGCTTATGGGGCCAGTGGTTCTCCCACACGGAGAGCCCACCAAGAGCCTAACTCAGAGGCCTCCAGGCTGCCGGCCTCGCCAAGCTGGGCCCGAGTGTGTGGCACGGAAGGAAGCTCAAGCCCAAGGCCCTTCCCAGCAGATGGGCTCGCCAGCTCCAGGGAGACACGCGTGCGTCACAGACCCGCACCACGCCTCAGGGCCCGCCCGCTCCCCTGGCCCGTGGCCAGAGCCCCTCTGTCTCGGCACAGCAGCGAGCCCGGGGGCTGGGCACGCGTGCTGGCCGAGGGGCCGCTCCGGCCAGGGTGCGCGGAAGACCCGTGTTCCCGCACAGCTGCCCTCGCCCGACAGTGCGCGGCCACTGCGACATGCCCGGGGGCCAAGCCCAGCGTGGCTGCACTTCCCACGCTAGTGGTTGTTCTGTGGGCAAACAGCCCCCGGTGGGGCAAGCGCGTGGGCCAGACGGCCGGTACCGCCTCGGAGCGCGCAGCCCCACCCAGGGCCGGCCAGCCCCGCGGGCTCCAGGCTGGGAGGAGCGGGCCGCTGAGCTCAGCCGCGCAGCCTCACTGACCACCACCCGGCGCCCAGACTCTCCTCCCCTGCAGGGGACGGCAGACGGGGGAGGCCTGAGCACGGAGGCCATCAGCACTCTCGGAGAGGGGGGCCCCTTCCCATCAGGCCGCCCCGCAGCCCGAGCGTGGTGCTGCGTCTCCCGGTTGCAGCCCCGAGGGGCCTCCCGGGGTCGTTCAAACGGCCCCCTCGCGCTGCTCTCCGTTCCCCGGCCGTGTCTGTGGGTGTACGTGAGGTGCTCAGGGATACCCCCTGAGTGAAGGGCGAACCTTTAGGAGCCACTGTACTAAGGCAAAACCCCTTGAAAGTGGAAAGGAATTTTCAAAAGCAAAAGAAGAGAGCTTCAAACCAGTCCGATGACAAGCTCCAGAGTTTATTACTCTTGGAAGAACACAGACTCGGGACACGGGGGCGTCTACAAACGAGAGCAGAAAGGAAAGTCAGCCACAGCGCAGACGTGCAAGAGTGCAACACGGGGAGAGACCACGGCTCCTCCCGGCTTGGCGTCCGTGCGCGGCCTCGGGGAGGGCGCCAGGGGAGCCTGCCCACGTGGCCCACGTCCCCAGAGTGCCCAGATGTGGACATACGTACAGAACACACCGCGACACATGCCTCCCGGGCCCCCGGTCCTGGGACACACTCGGACTGCCAGCGGCATCCTGGGCCGGGCCGAGCCAAGGAGGCGCTGGCGTCACCCCCAGAGCAGACCACACGCGTGGCGTCAGGGTCCACGCGTCACCGAGCACACACAGGAGAAAGGACAGCCACCAGCGGCCCCGTCAAAGTGTCCACTGCAAAGGCTCCTTGTCTACAGCCCAGGGACGGGGGACGGGGGGCTGGGGTGGGGATGCAGGCACACACGTCGTGGTTCGGAGCAGGACAGAACTGCTCCTGGAAGGCCGGGAGCCCCGCTTCACGCCCGGGCAGCTGCCGCTCTCGGGCGCCCACACCGCTCGGCTCCACACCCACGAATCCCAGCGTCTGTCTGGAGGAACGCCTAGGCCTATTCCGGGCCAGGGAGCCCCAAGGACTTCCCCTGGCACCCTGGGAACGGAGCCACAGCGCGGCCCACACGGGGCCACACCCCCCCGTGGTCTGCCGGGGTCGGGCAGGCGTGTGCAGCCGTCCCTACGGAGCACCGGGGCCAGAGAGCACGCTCCCTCCCCCAAATCACACGGGGCTTTCCCGGTTGCTCAAGACAGATGCTATTTTTTTTTCCAGTCTTGAGACTGCAACATGAAAAATGCTAGCTATCCACATTTTAGGAGTGGCACATACATTTTCGGAGACTCCCCGGGCCTTGCTGGGAGGCGGTCCCGGCCACGGGAGCGAGGAAGAGGCTGGGGGGCAGTGCGGACACCGCTCACACGCACCTCCCTCCCAGAGCACCGCCCGGCCCCAGCACTCTCACCCCGGGCCCCTCCAGGACCCATGCTGGCCACACGCAGAGGCGCTCCTTTCAGAAAAGGCAGAGGTGGCCCACAGTGAGCAGGACAACAAAGGTCACGTTGGAACCTCGTTAGAGCGAGGATTCTAGGTAGAGGGGGACTTACCACAGCTGTTTCTGTTTTTATTGGAAACGGAGTGGATAACACTGGGCGGACAGTGGAGGAGCAGAGAGTCAAAGGTGTGCAGGGGGGTCAAACCTAGAGGTACCTGGTCTCGGAGGTCCGGCCGAGTCCTGCGGGGTGGGGGTGGGCGGCAGTAAAGTGCTGTTGGGGCTGCTGATGTCCCCCTCCCCCATGAGCGTCAGGTCAGCCACGTGCTCGCCCTCCATGGTCTGGACGCCCCCGTCCTCGGCTTCCTGGGAGTGGGGCGAGGGGGTCTGGGGGGCACTGAACGGCGGGCTGTCAGCCGAGCTGGGGCTGGTCGCGGGGCTCTCGCGGCAGTGTCGGGTGGGCCCCCAGGACTCTGGGGGCCGGGGAGCCTTCTCCTTGCCGTTGCTGGTCAAGCTTCTCTTGCCAAAGCTCTTGGCGGCGGTGGGCGAGGGCAGGGCCAGCTCCACGGGGCCGGGCGGTAAGCGCAGGAACTCGGGCAGCACCAGGTCCTCCTTCCTCAGCAACCCACGCTGGTCGTCTGCTCTGTTGCTCTGAGCTTTGGAAATGAGCTCAAAAAACTCTAGTGGAAAAAACCCACATGGATCAAGCTTTAGAGAGTCCCACACCCAGGCCTGCACTGCAAAAAGTTCACCATCTAGAAAGCTCGTGTCGTGGGCTGTCCCACTGCCCCGGAAACTAGAGGCCCGGGCCACCCAGGCGCCTCCATCCGGCACCCTCTCTGCCCCCGGAGCTGCAGGGAAGGCCCCGCCCCGAGAATTCAGTTGTCTCAAGTCCAGACTCGAATAGACCAAAACCCCCGACTGGACGCGGCTGTGTGAGGACGCTTCGAAAGGCACATTCATCGTCCATACTCCAGCCCGGGGTTTCTGAGTAACCTTGGAAGCCCTGTACCTACATCCCGGTTCCCTTGTGATGCTGAGGGGAGGCCACCTGAGGCACGAGCGAGCCCACAGTCCCCCCAAGAGAGGTCACCACCTCCTGACAGAGCGTGGTCCTGGCGGGGTCCCCACTCTCTCCCCCACCTCTGCCTCCAGCCTCCTCGCTGGCTCCCCCAGAGCTCCTGCCTCCTTACCTGGGCCGACCACCAGCCGTAAATGGAGTTCACTGTTCAAAGTAGGAGGAGTCTAAGCTGAGCTTTCTCTAGCATTTAAATGATACTCTTTGAAGAATGACAAGGACTTTAAAACCTCAAATCTTAGTGGCTCTCGGCTGGGAGCCTTGTGTCTTACTTCTGCCTCCTCGGTGGCCAGCAACGGCCAAAGGAGGGGGGTGAACGGGCTCAGGTTGGCCTTCATGGGGAGCTAGCTGTGGGCCCCGCGGCCTAGCAAGCACTCCCTGGATCACAATTCAGGTCCCAGTAACAGCTGTTAGTTTTGATTCTGCCGTTAGAAGCTTTCAGAAGAAAAAGCAGTTTCCATAAGAGATCACCTCTCCTTGGGTCCCTGAGGCCACCGCCCTCTCCCCTGCAGGCCCAGGGAGGGCAGGGCATCCAGCCAACAGGCTAAGGCACAGACCTGCCTCGGGGCCTCTGGCCGGCAAGGTCAGCAAGTCCAGGGCCTTCCTGGCTGCCGCCCCCTCACCTGCGCCCCCCCCCACTGGTGACCCTGACACGCACCCCCTGACACTAACTGACCCCTCGTAGGAGCTGGGGAGGGGAGGGCACAGGCAGACCCTTGGGGACCACTTGCTGCCCCCCTCAAGGGCACTCCCTGGCCGCTAAGGGGCCCGATGCTCAGTCTGACAACCGGGAAGCGGCACGGCAGCCCCAGACGGACCCGGGGCGAGGGGCATGCTCAGCTCAGTGTGACAAGGATGGCGTCCTTCTGACGTCAGTGGCTCAGAGGAGTCCTAGTGACGGCCCTGGAAGACTAACATCGCATTCACTAGAAAACGCCGAAGTTGTAAAAAGTACACATACCCTCTGCTTCGTCCAAATTAATTTTCTGATTTTTTTTTTTCCCAATCTTTGCAATAGATTCTTCTCTCTTTGAAAGCCGGGGATCCCTAGCATTTTTTCCATTTTCTCCTTTTATTTTAATAGAATTAGACTTGCCTAGTGTTCTCTCCTCTCCCTGCATTAGAAGGAAAGTCAAAGTTCTGCTTACACGTCAGACACATGACAACACACAATCCATCAGTTAGAGACAAAAAGCTCCCCCCGAAATACAGACTTTACGTGCCTTGCGGGAAAACCAATCACAGTGACAAAGGTCACAAGAACAAGAGCATGAGCGTGAGGCACCGCCCCCCCAACGCAGGGGAAGAGCCAGCCCACGGTCGGGGGAGCCAGGCAGCAGACGGGGAGCAGGGTGCGGGGCCGGCCCCGAGCGCACAGCCCCTGGGCACGACAGGAGGCGCACGGAGGAGCGTGAGGGGCCCGGCCCGAGCTGCGCCAGCCAGCAGCGAGGGACCCATGCGGACGAGGGCAGAGGGCAATTACCGTAGCCGAGTGATTTCTGGAACTGGAATTTACAGCTGCATTCTGTTTGGCTGGTGCACTTTTCTGTTTCTCTGTGGGTACTAAACATAATGAAACATGCTTTATAATTACAGCGAATTGCAAATCCACCCGAACATTCAAATATAATCATATTTCTATTGTTTTTGAGAGAAAGCTATAGAGAAGCCCAAGGTACAAGACATCCTATATTAAAGACGCACATATGGGCCAAACCCCTGGTGCAGGACGAAGGGACAAAGACCACGGTCTCCCACCCGCCACATCGGGGCAGGAAATGCTCATCATGTGAAGACGTGCGCAGGAGGCACAGCGGGTCCCCCCTGCAGGCGCGGGGACTTGTGGAGGCGTGGCGGAAGAAAAGCTCATTTCAGGTACTGTCTGGTACGAATGTTCTTTAGAAAGCAGAAGAGTCTCACGCTTACGACATGTTTTCAAATACGGCCGTCGCCCCACGTCGGAACGGCAGGCTGGCTTCTGCCGGCACCAGAGGGACAAAGACCACCCCTCTGGCCCGGAATCAACTAGGGGACTAACCGCGCTCCGAGGTGGCTCCTGCCTGCAGCACCCCGTCACACCCCCTTGGGCACAAACAGGCCGGAAGGTCTGACCTTGCCAGACCCTGAGGGAGGCCCACGCCCTGCTCGGGCCACTCACCCCACCTGGGCCGGGTACCAGGCCCCAGAGTGAGAGCACAGCATTCTCTAGAACCGAGGGTGGGCCCAGGAAGATGCCTCCTCGGCAACGAGGGGGGAGAGGAGAAGGAACGAGCACGGAGGGCCGCCAAGGGGCAGAGATAAGTGAGCCCAGCTACACTGTGGAGCAGAGTCAGCCTCGCTGGGTGGAAGCCCAGGAAAGGGAAGAAACCGCCCAAAGCGGCACCCACAGCTCCTTGCAGAGTTATCTCCTCGCTTGGGTACTGGGTAGGAGGTTCCAGAAAGCCCTCTCCAGGAGACACGCTTCCTACTGCCCTCCGCCTAGAAGGGGGCTGGGTGTTCTGAGGAGGAGCATCAGGGGTGAAGCGTGGGGGACTGACTGCTGGCCCCGAGGTCGGGCACCGGCTATGGGCACCCCAGTGTCCCCAGGGCAGGCCTGTCACGGCAGAAGCAGCATGAGGGAAAGGGCTGTGTAAACCTCCCGGTTCCCTGCACACAAGCGACAATGGGACCGCTGACGGCACCAGCCCACCGCCTCATCTGCTGGGCCTATGTCCCGCGGGCAGACGACCGTGAGGCCTCCCAGGAGGAAGCACTCTCTGGCCAAAGCCCTGGACACAGGGAGCGCTGGAACCTCGGCGCAATCCTATGGGGAGGGGATTTCGAGCAGGCCTGTCGCCCCTTCTTACAGCTGAGAGGACCGCCCCCCCACCTGTCAGCAGGCGGGCAGATCCCCGAGCGAGGCCCTCTTGCTCCTGGTCCCACTGCCTCTGGCCCGCAGACAGGCCTGGACCGGGCTGGGCCCCTCAGATGCCCAGCTAGGGCTGAGTTCTGTCATGGCAGGGGGGTTGCCAGGCCCTGTAAGACCCTAAATGAGACCACTGGGGTAGCAGGGCTGGGGGCTTTCAGGAGGCAGAGAGAAGGGGGCCCCAGCAGGCCAGGGGGACCAGGGAAGCCTCGAGGCCTGGCTTACCTTTTCCTCTGGAGGGCTCCTTCTCCTCCAAGATGACCCGCTGCCCATCCAGACTTGATATGGGCGCGCCAAGGTCCAGAGGCTCCTTCTCTCCACTCTAGAGGCAGAGATGGTGCATCGAGTCACTCACCCGGGTCAGAACTGTCCGGCACGGCTGTGCGTGGTCCAGCTGCTGACAGGAAGCCCATCCCAGGTATGATGGAGTCACACGCCAGGTGACCCCAGGTCCTAGCACCTTGGAGGGCTGCCTCAGAGGGCACCCCACAGGTGCCCAGCCAACACGCATGGGACCATGTTGGGGCTGGCCACATGCCCCTGCCACAGAGAACACGGCCTCCAAGCCCTGGCCGGCCCGCGGGGATCGGAGACCCGGGGGAAGGAACGCTTGTGAATGCTGCGGACATCTCAGTCCACAGAGCCGACGCTTTAAATATCGCGTCAAGTTGGCATGAGTCTGCGCACTGCTCCTATCCTGGGTGAGGTGTGCGCGAAAACCCGCCCCCCTGCCCCTCAGATGCGGCTGGAGGGTGAGGGGTGAACGCAGAGCGCCTCCCCTGCCGACTACTTAGACAAAGGACCCTGAACTCGTCGGCTCCCTGAGTTCCGTCAGTCGGGAGAACAATAAAAGTGACCAGATGCCACGTCGGAGAGTGGCGGCCAGCTCCTGGCGCCGGCCATGAGGAAACGGAGCACCAGCTCACAGGGCTGCCCTGCTCTCCACCTTCCTGCCCTAGGTGGGCACCATTCACTGAAGAGGCCGCATCTGTCACGACCCACTCCACAAGAATTCTCCGTGGCCGGAGCCCCAAGGCAGTGGACCCGCTCTTCCCAGTCAGGGTCTCAGCAGCCCGAACGCAGCTCAGCCGGGAACAAGCCCAGGGGCATGCTCCCAAGACTCACCCGAGTTTACAGATAGGGAGACTGAGGCCCAGAGGGGTGAAGTGCTAGCTCAGAATCTCAACAGAGTAAGCAGCAGGGCGCCCAGGCCACGTCCCTCTCTGACCAGCAGCTGGGGAAGGGGCTTCAGGCTACCCTCAGGATATCTGTCAACAACTTAACGTGGTCCTCTCACTCATTTCAAGGCTTCTTAACAAGGGGGGCCCAAGTCAGAGAAAAATTAAAATCCTAAAAATACTTGTTGGGCACCTGGGCGGCTCAGTCAAAGCGTCCGAGTCTTAAATTTCGGCTCAGGTCGTGATCTCAGGTCATGGGATCGGGCCCTGCATGGGGCTCCCTGCTCAACAGGGAGTCTGCGGGAGATTCTCTCTCTCCCTCTCCCTCACCCCTCCCTCCCCACTCACATGTACTCTCTCAAAAAAAAAAAAAAAGTCCTAAAAGTACTTGAAATCATAGCTCTGATAAAGTATATTTTCTGAAGAAGGAACGCAAGGCGAACACTGTGTCATTAATCACCAGGTTTCACAGCAAAGGAGGATAGTGTGCTTGGAACACATGGTGCTTTCAGCAGAGACCAGGTCTCGGGTACGTGGGCTCCCTGACCCAGGACATCTCCCACAAACACCCTCTGCTCACAGGGACAGGGGACTCTGCCCCGGCTCACGGTGGTGTCTTTGCCCCAAAGTGTGGTCCGCTCTCACCCACTCACCTACCCCGGGGGTCCTGCTTGGAAATGACAGAGTTTCTAATCTAGTGGTGCAGACGGGACTTGGGAGGTGTCAGGGAGAGCGCCCCCCCCACCCCGGGGGCCACCAGCAGAAGTCTAGCAGCCGCTCACATGCAGGACGCATCAGTACCCTCAGCACGCGGCCAGCCGAGCACATCTGCAAACGGCAGCCGTATTCCAGGGGTTTTTAGTGGTGTGTTTCGCCTTTTGGTTTCCCTGGACCAAAGCCACATCTCCACGATCACCCAGAACCCACTGGGAATGATCAGGTGTCACTAAACAACGAGGATTTCCACTCACGGGGACGCCCTCCCACCAGGGCCTCATGGCCTCTGCTTCTACACGCCCCCGTCCGCGGAGCCTCAGGGGCCAGCAGCCCGTGAGCTGACCCGTCCGCGCAGGGAGCACAGCCGAGGGGCCCCCACGTCACTCACCAGCCTGGCCACCAGCTCGTTCAGGTGCAGGCCATACTTGGCCACCACGGGCCGCAGCACTTCTGTGACGGGCTTGGTGGGCTTGGCCTTGAGTCCCACGGACCGGTTAATTGGAACCAGATCCAGCCTGGTTGGAGGAGACACATGAACAGCGTCGCTGCGGATACAGACTTAGCTTTCCTCCTTGAGGGCACCACAAGGCAGCAGCCCCGTGGGGTCACCAGGTCGGCGCTGTGGAGCACTTTCAGCATGAGAAGGAAGCCGCAGGGGGCGGGGGGAGCTTCTCGAAGGTTTCCAGTGGGCTGTCACAGCTGGCAGAGCGCCCCCCACCCCAGCAGATGGCCAGCACTCTGCTGTCCCGCCTGCGCGCCCCTGGGTGCGGCCCTACGGCGGCTGCCACACAGGACGGAGAGTGACCCCTTGGCTCCGTGGGTCCCTGGGGGCTGCGTGCGGCCGCTGCCACCCCCCACCCCGCTCACGAAGGGGGCGCCAGCCTTCCTTTCCCAGCCCAGCACGCAGGGCTCGCAGGGACGCCCCCAGAGACAGCCGCGTGGCCCAGAGACCTCAGGAAACCGCAGGGGCGTTTTTCGTACCGAAACAAAGTCCGCTTCTCTAGCCGCAGGTCCCGAGACTCCAAGATACTACTGTCCTGATGCAGCACCAGAGGCTTTGCGATGCAGGGGAGGACAGAGACCAACGTGAGAGTGGGGGCGAGCCCGCGCCCCTGAGCGCCCCCCGACTGCCCCGGGATGCACAGCTGCGCCGAGCAAATCGCGGCTTCAAAACCAGCTGCCCAGAGGAGGCCGCGCTGCAGACAAGCAAACGTTTGCGTGCTGAGGGCTCCTGGCAGGGGGGCCAGGCTCCAGCGGCAGAGCCGTCAGCCTGAGGGCCTCAAGCAGCCCCAGCCTACGGTGACCGGGCAGGTTTAGCTGACCAGACCAACAGACCCGCCCTTCCCCCCACCCCCGCCCACGGGCAGGGCCCCGAGGGTCCACGCAGCCCCATACCTTGTCCCCGCCCACCAGGAAGAGGTCAACGGCAGCCCCGTTGATGCCGTGTCGTTCGCAGAGTCCAGCCAGGACCTCTTTGATGGACAGCCCCGGCTTGACGACCACCACGCAAGACGTCCCGTCGGGGAGCTGGATGCAGCAGGGCTTGGTGGCCTTGTCCCGCTCTGGCACCAAGGTCCTGCAGGCCTCCGGCTGGGGAGTTGGGAGACAAGTGTTACGGGCAGGTGCGCAGGGTGCCAGGGGAAGGGCTCTGGCGGGCTTGCGTGGGCCTCGGGAGACTGTACAGTGCATCTCCCTGGGCCACACGCAGCTCCGTACATGCAGAAACGCCGTGACAGATCTACACGGGGGGCTGGGCACGAGAAGCCGACAAAGTTGTTGGGGCTTCTACAGTAACACAGGAGAGAAGAGAGCAAGTCTGTCTGCATCTCCAGTCTTATCTTCCAGTCTCCTGTGGAACCATTTCCAAGGGCCATATTTAAGGAGCTTTCGTGCTCAGAATAGGATGGGCCCTGCCGTGTTGTTTTCAGGGCTTTCGTCTTGGCCTGAGGAACCCACTCCTCCTGCCTCTCAGTCCGCAGCACTGGGGACCCACCAGGCAGGCTGGATCGCCCACGGAGGGCCTGGGGCCCAACCCAGGCGGGGAGGCCCCTCTGCTGCTTCTCCTGGCCTTTCAGGCCCCTCCTACCAGAGCTCCCAGGACTGGAGGCCTCTCTGACAGGCACGGACTGTGGACAGCACATCGGCCTGAGGGAGGGGCTAGGGCAGCTCAGACAAGGGCTCAGAGGCAGGAACATGCACCCGAGAGGGTAAGGACCCCCCCACATAGACACCAGCCATCAGGTCAGGAGAAAGCAGTGAGGGGCGGGGTTGGTTTGTTCTTGACCATTCTGTACATTACTCAGTGCTCAGCATGGTAAGTGTGGGGAGGCCAGGGGCTGCGATCCTGCTTTAGCTGCTGGCAGAGGGCCCGCCCCACCAGCGCCAGCGCCAGGCTGAGGCCTCGGGTGCCCTTTCCTCCCAGAGGAGGCTCGACACCTCTGCCTGGGTGAGGACATGGCCCAGGTTCACTGAGTGCTCAGCAGTGAGACGCAGCCGCAGGGTGGGGGAAGGTGGGCAGGGAGAGGCGTCTGCACTATTCACCGACTAAGCCAGGAGCGCAGGAAATTGCTATTTAGCGCTCTGTCCCAGCACCAGGACCCATACTCAGATGTGGGGGCTCCTGATGGGCAGGGGGCGGACCAAAGGGCCATCAGGGCCCCGTGTGTGCGGCAGGCCTCTGCGCCTCTCGGCGACGTCTCCTGCGGTCTCTGAGTTACAACAGCATCCCCTGGCTGCAGACGGCCCCCCACAGAGGTGCTTCCCATGTGCGAACTACCCCAACACTATCTCCTCCTGACAGTCTGGAAATCTCTGCCACCCCAACTGCATTCTGGAAAACACAGTTTGTAGGTGGTAGGCTGATGATAAAACAGGCCCAACTATTCCCTTCCCACGGATGCAGACGCAGGAATAAAGGGTCTTTGTTTTAAGCCAGAGTTTTGGGGTGGTTTGGCGGGCAGCCACACCGAACTGACATGTGATTAAACCCCTCCAGCTTTAACTGATACACAGTGTAACTGAAGAAGGAATAATATGCTACATTGTCGTTTGACAATGACAAGTGACTAGGATGTTGGCAACAATTAGGGTTTCCAAACCTAGTATCAGACCACAGCCAACAGCCAGCAGGCCCCTAACTGGAGACTGGGGCCACGTGGGTAGGGCGTGAGGGGAGGTGGAGCCCCCCGCCGCGGCCAGGCCCCCACTGGCAGAAGCACAAAACACAGGAAGGTTTGCGTTAGTGGGATATTCCAACTGTGAGACAGACACAGAGCACCTGGCTTCAGAGCCTTCTGTTTGCTCTTAGTGGGAGTTGAAAATATGGCAAATGAATGAGAGCAAAAAGACATCCAGAGTAAATCCAGAAATATCTTTAGTACTCAAGGAGCAGCCCTCCCCCATCTGCCAAACACGCAGCCAGGAGCGCTAGGCCGGCAAGGGCCCCGGCCCAAGCCCCGCTCCCCACATCCAACGCACGCATTCGTGGGGCTTTGTGAGAGTGGGCTCTGCATGACTGAACACTGAGGCGGGGTTCACCGATCAGCTGTGACCCTGGGGACGGGGAGGTGGCGACTTACCAGGTCCAGGCTCCCCGTGGAGGACACGGAGCCCTGTGACTCGCGGCGGCCCAGGCCTCCATTGGCGTGCAGGGGCTCTTGATGGGGAAACACAGTGACTCAGAAAACCAAACAGCACCAGCCCTACTTTTCCCCACTTACTGTCGCATCTCCCAACCCCGCCCTGCAGGCTGAGCAGACAAAGGACGTGGAGAAGCCTTTCCGAGGCACGGCCTTCCCTCGCGGACAGTCAGGCGCACCTCCTGGGCATAGCTAGATGGCGCGCTCTGCTCTGCCCTTGGCCGCAGCCGGACCCCGGACCCCCCGGCGGCTAGCAGCAGGTCAGAAACACAAGTCCATGCTCCTGGTGCAGGACCTGCCTTCCCTTCGGTTAATCTGGGATTTTTATTTCAACGTGTGGCTTCTGGGCCCAAATGAAAACATCCCGGCCGGTTACCGCACCTCTGCCCACGGCTCAAGTCACATCTTCCTACAAAGTCCCCAAGTGAGCGGACAACCATGCCATTCACCTCACCGCCACCTGAACTCACTGCTATCTTTGGCTAAAGAGCATGAAAACTGACCCAGAGAGGCCCTTCGAGAACACGGGACCTGCTCCCCAGTCATGCCACCGAGCCACAGCCGGCAGCTGCAGGCCCGGGAGTAAGGAGACGGCAGCCCCGGGTCCTGCTGACCTTCTGAGCCACTGGCCCACTGTCCTGTCTCCCAGGTGCTCAGGGGTCCCTGCCCCCATCTAACAACTCTTCCCACCCCCACAGCGGTCTCTCACTGGTTGAATTCTGCAAGTCTGTCTGCCCGGCCTTTAGAAAGAACACTTGCATTAACCACCCACAGCACGACCCAGGAGCACGGCCATCTGTAAAATGGGTACAAGAAGACAGAGTTGGCGGGCTGCTCTGAGGAGGAGATAAGACGAATGCTATCCAGGGCGCTTGGGTGGCTCAGTCGGTTAAGCGACTG